TCGAATATGCGTTTTTGTTTCTGCTGAACGACGTGCGGGATGGTTCAACGTTCCAATGTTGCTTGGATTCCCACCGGCATACATCGACACCGGGACCTCAAGACGTTCTGTGTGGATCGTATGGGAATGTCTTCCGATTCGTTTCGTAGTTTTATTGACCTTATCTCCACGTGTTGACATGCCTGGCATCATCGCACTATTTCAAGGCATGAGCCCAATCATGCGAGTGCTTGGTGTTGGTTGCATCCGTCGTGCCTTGAATAGTTCCTGCATGGGTTCGGGCATGCTGTTTGAGTTTCAACTCGATGGCGGAAGTGTTGAAAGATGTGGGATGCCTCGTGGAAGAGGTGGTCGTCGCACAGAGTGTCCAAAAGAGGCATATGGAAAGGAGAGCTCAGCACGTACAATCGTTGAACAAGACATGTCATGTGTGACCTGCACAGCATGTTTTTCTTGTAGTGGACTGGACTGGTGATGGGATTAGTGTGTCTTGGGTGGGCGAGGGTGTGCTGTTCTATTGATGATGTCCACCCAGAACCAGCCGCGGCAGGCTTTTCTTCTGCCGGACAACAGGCACGAACTACGTGCAGTGTTTGATGGCAGCTCATGCACGCAGGTGTTGCAAATTCTCGGAATTGATGTAAGGTGAGATTGGACCAGCTGTCCAGGAAACATGTAGTTCATGCAGTACTGCTTGATTCTACGACTCGTGGCTCTTCGTGGCAGGTTGGAACCTGCGGAACGAAAATGGCAAAAACTATTCGTGGCCCTTCCATGGCTGACATTCGCGGCCATGGTGGGATTCGGCACATTTGTCTGGATTGTGCCACCTGTATTGCTTCTCCGAGCTTGCGTGATGTGGTGTTTACGGTGGTGTTTACGTGTTCCAGCGAACATCCGACATGGCAGCTCGCGCTCCCGACCCTGCTTGTGCACGGAAACCTGCCGTACCTTCTGCAGCGGGCGGAGCATGAAAAGCAGGCACGTGGTAGGGTGTTGCTTTTCGATCGCAAATCCTTCTAGGGCCTCCATGCTCGTTTGCTGGTTGAAGGCAGTCGGAAGAAGAGTGGCGCTTGCTGATCGCGTCGAAGCCTCGTCGACAGCAGCATCGCTGAAAGCAGGGGCATGCGACATTTTGCAGACTCGAGCGGATGTTGACATTCGTGTCGAAAGTTAGTGTAAGTGCTGAAGCCTTGCAATCGCTTGTTTTGTCTAACAGCTTCTCAGCATCCCTAAATTTCAGAGGCGCGCGATGTGTACGGAGTTGCAGAGATGCAATTTGTAAGGTTGCAGATTTCCAAGTGGTCAATTTCGGCCAGATGCACGGGCCTTATGCTTCAGGCATAACTTTTGTTCATCTCTTCGTGCAAGTCATGTTCACCTTCGACGCAGAGTGTGGCCCTAGGTTTCCAAGTCTCGTTGCAATTGTAGGTCGTCCAGTTCTGCTAGGAACGAGTAGGAACGAATCAAAAATTCGCACAGTTCCCTTGCCATCTTGCAAGCACCTGTTGCCCGTCTCAGGCCAGATGTGTTGGAACGGCCGTTTCCAACGATGTTGATTCTCTTCCATCCAGTCACGGGCACAGAGCAGCTTTGCGATTTTTTTTGGAACTGCCGCTGAGTTATTCATGTCTCGTTCCCAGAGGCGACATTCGCCTCAAAAGCTCCAGCCTTAGGGTTGCCGGCATTCCAGATTCCTAGTGACGTAGTATGCCATGTATAGATATGTGCATACCAACAGTACAGCCCATCTCTCGTATCACGCACAGTTTCGTGCATACATACAGATGCCTCCACGGCCACAGCCACGGCCACAGCCAGCCGCATGCACGTACAGATGAGCATGTACATGCACATTTATACATATACACATACACATACGCATATGCAAACACACACACACACACACATATATATATATATATATAATACACATGTACTAATTACCGAATACTGTAGGCCAAGGATGGCCGAAACCGTGCAGTTGCCGATGGTGGCACAATCTGCCAACAGACATCGGCATGTCTTTTTTCTCAATCTTCCTCGTTTTGGTTTTCATATAGAAAAAGGGAAAAGTAGCAAGAAATCAACGGTCGACTACTTTCACTGCGTGGGAAGCGTTTTTCCTTTGAACAGCGGTGGCAAAGTCTGAAGACTTCAAGACCAAGGGAAGCTTGCACCAGACTGCCGCAAAGATGTGCCCAGCTTTCCAAAACGGATTTTGGCAAACTTCCATGCTTTCCTTCTGTTTTCTTTTACTTAGAGAAGGAACGACAGGCGAACAAGTTCACGCAGCGCGACCTGCATCTGTTTTTTTTTCAGCGGGCGGAAGTGGACAACAACCAGGGTAAGTTGGGAGGACTTCAGAAAGTTTCGGGTAAATTTTGACCCAGTACTTTGACCACAGTGTCAATCTTGGAACTCCGGGGCGTGGCGAAATCATTAGAAGACCCTTTGGAGCTTGCATGAGTTCTCGCTTACCAACTCAACTTCAGTACAGGGCCCGGGCGTATAAGTTGGTTGCATGATGGGCTCCCTCCCCCTCTTTTTGAGGTCCCCCACTCCCCTTCCGGACGGTCCCCGTCGTCCAGCATGTTTAGGATGTTTTTGCACATTTCAGACTTGTGGTCTCGACCCTGCAAGATCGGCAGTAGTTTCTGGGTCCAGTTCGAGGGCAATTCGCAGCATGACGAATCTCGTGTAGAGTAGATTCAGAGATGTGGCTTCGCTGCGCATGCATCTGCCTAGATGTTGCAATCTCGGACCACTTGCAGTTCTGCACAGTGAGCCATAGCGACAGTTGCGGTTGCACACATAACCTGCGTCTTGCGACTTTTGGTGGCGGTCGTTCAGAGTGGCGTAGCGTGCATTGGCATAATGGCAAAATCCCTTCGTGACTCCGGCTGCTCTTAGCACATGACTGAAAGTATGGCCCTGGCTCACGACGAGGCGGAGGCAGAAAGCTGGTTGGCATGTGCCGGCCCGAAAATGCCAATACAGGTTTTCTTGAGCATAAATTAGGCCGAATTTTCTCCGCCATGCTCGAGTGATTCGCAGTGCTGCGGCTACAGATTTGCTTGACGAGTCGCCTCATCCTGTAATATATATATATATATAGAGACAAATATATGTACATATATGTGCTCAACCCCCCCCCTTCCCAAGACCTACCGCGAGGTGCTTCGGCTGCGGCGTTGAGCAAATTTTGGCTTGGTGTTCTAGGGTTCAGGTTTTCGGTTCATTACTTGTTTACCGGTCTTGGAAATGCAGACATTTGCGGAATAGCTAACCATAACCATTATGTCTGAGGATTGTAAAACTACAAATCTGTTTGTCATTCTTAGTCCGTTCTTCTATGGTGTCCGGAGTTGTGTGAGTTCGAATCGCAGCAAGGGAAATGATGGAAATCGCATTGCATGATCGAGCTCGCTAACCTCGCCCAAGACGGAGTCCTTGCACGAGTTCATATGTCATGGTGCCTAACCCTCTATGACATCGATGTGAGAGTTTTCTGGGCTCTTGCCCCGCTGTTTTCTTCTTTCTCAGGAAAGGCATTGGGTTGATTCAGCGAGCCGGGAGCGGGCAAAACCCTAGTGGCACGGTCAGTGGCTATGGCGCTGTCGCCCTATTACATCAACCACATCGGTCAACAGGGCGAGGTTGAAACATGATTCCGACAAGCATCGGAGGGCAGGTTTCTCGTTAAAAAACAAGTCATACTTTACTTGTGTATTCAAAAACTTGTGACATTGAAGCTGTTACCCCCGTTTGGCGCTGCAAGTTCTAAGGTTCTTCGGCCCGACATTTTTGATGATGGGACCCTCTTGGAGCAACCGTTCAAGAAGCTCATCGCCTTCATAGATGTTGGAAACATTGAACGTATGTCCAAGGAGCGGTGGGGTGCCGCAGAATGGGTGAAAGGGCAGCCCCGTTTTTCCTGGCGAGAATGATTCCTATCGCAATGCGGAGCCCAGAAACGAGCTCCTCATCCTAGCATCGGCAAGGAATCATCTCCTACGTCGCCCACGATGACTGTCCCAACATGCTGGAATCCGCTTGGTGTCCTAAGGACAAAAACCAGGCAAATGTCATGGCGCTTGTGAAGCGGACACATCCCTCTCAACACCAAAAGCTTTTTGTATATCAAGCCCGCTAGCGAGAAACAGACACCAGTACTTCGTATTGCTTTGGATCTATGACTACCATCGCAAAGGTGGCACGGAAATGCCCAGAGATTTCCATCGCAAGGTTGCGTGGGAAACGGAATGGATGGAGAAAGTCATGAAAGGGGACTTCTCCGGGAAGAATGTGAGCAATCTTTTCGAGGCCCCAAGTCCATCCTCGTCGGCCAAGCCTCATGTGGAAAAGTCTACGCCTTCAAGATGCTCAGCCCAAGCCTCCAACGGAAACATCCGCGTTTTCAGATGCGCGGCCGTTGAAGAATGTCAAGATGGAACCCGGCATTTTCCGAACGCTTACTTCCTCAGAAGTCGGGGGGACTTCATCGATTTGGATGCTTCGCCAGAGAAACCGCCTCGTCCATCAGTCGTTGAGCAAAGCCATCCTTACAAGAGGGGCTGTCAGCAGAACACAATGACCCATTCATGACGGCATCTTCTCACCGTATGCTACGAAATTTATTGGTGCATTCCATATGAACTGTGTGTGCAAGCACTCAGGAGACAGAGCATCCGCTTGTCCATGTGAAGCACGAGTATTCAACGTTTCTGTTCGAAGAGATTTGTTTTCGGTTGTACAGCACCATGCCGAGGAAAACCATGAAAAGTAGCAGTCATCGTGGAGCCTGGCCCGCCTTCCAAGAAAGTCATATCCAAATTCGCCAAGATCCCTTATGTGCGTCATGGCACCCCAAGCACAGTCAGTGGGCCGAGTCGTGAGCGCTGGGGACGTTCCATCTAGAAGTTCGACTCCATGAAACATCCGAGTCTCGTTCGTCTTCTTCGGCGAGATCAAACTATCCCCGAATGGAGCAACCCGCCATGTCCGCATTGTGGAGCAGGCAAGTTGAGCCACTTATCGGAAAGTTTGGGCGCACAGATGCAGTGCCAAGTTTTGCAAAAAAAAAAACAATTTCCAACCCCACGAATTTCATTTCATTTTCGTGCAGGGAGCTGGTGCCAGCAAAACCAGTCTGCAGAAAGGCCTCCATCCTCCTGTGCGCCACTGCCGCCGTGCCCCGGCATTGCCTGTCCAAGATCATGGAAGTGGACGACAGGATTGTATCACGCATTTACAGCAACCTCGACATCGCCCGTGCGCGTTTCGTACTCGCACATGAGAAACACATACAGCATGGTGGGATTGCTCGGTGGGTGGATGTGGAGGTTGACGAGGTCGATTTGGGCACAGGGTTGGTGGAAAACAACGACACGCCCAAGTTGAACGCAAAGTGGGAGCAATGGTTGGGAGTGGTTCAACTTGGCTCGAACCGCTGCTGACAAAATCGCATGCCCCCGGACCAGGACCCATCAGGAAACGAGACTGGAAACCAGTGGCCAAGCAGTATTTGGAGGGTAGGGGAATCGTGCGCCGCACAGATGGCACAAGGGCCTACAAGCTAAGCTGACCGAGTTGAGCATTGCAATTTCGAACACAAGCAAAAGAAAGTGAAGGTGAACGGCAAGGCGGCACGAAAGAATTCAGTAACTTATCTTTTTGATTTGGCGGTTTGCTGGGTTTAGACTTTTGAACTTCAAATCTTGTTATCTTTTCAGCAGCCTAGGATAGGAAGCAAACAAACAATTTCAAAAAAAGAAAACATTTTCTTAACCGCAGTTGTCGCTCGTAGCCTATTTTAAATAAAAAAGCCCCGAGAAGTTAAGAGCTGTTTTTCATACGTCCGACCGGTCGCTTTTGGGTTCAAATAAGCTTTTGAGATAAGAGTCGGACAAACAATCAGGAATAAGCCCATCTTGTTAACCGCAGTTGTCGCTGTTAGTCTAGTTGGCAGAAGCACGCAACAGCAAACAATACAGAATCCTGTATACGTCTGACAATGTAAACCAATTCGAGAGGTCAGCCTGGAATAAGCCGTTATTCAGTAACTTGCTATTTTGTGTTGAGTTTTTCTGGTGCTCAGGTCATGTGGGTGAAGCACATTACACCAAAGTGCACAGCTTGTCTTTGCCCGACGCCAAGAAGTTCAAGGTAAAGAGTGGGACGCAGATACTCGACAGATGTTGGCAGCACCTACGTTCGCACCTGAAGTATGCTCATGCTCCTCGTTTCCCCGACAGCGATGTCATGTTTCGCAAGATCCGCAGTGCTCAGAAGTTTTACTGGCCAAAGGGATAGAGCTTGTGGACAGCAGCGGGGGGCAATGATGAAGTTTCCATGCAACTGAACGGTTGTCGCAACAGTGACGGCTTCAGGACAAGTTCCAGGTTAGAATTTCACGGAGATTTTGAGTGCGGAGAGGCTGTTCAAAACAAGATCTATACCATTATACGTCCACGCAGGAGGTTTGCGACCTTTGGTTTAGTAAAAAATGCAAAAGTTCCGAGGTTGCCCTAAAGGTGTTGGATGTTTGGATTCTTGGTTTTGTCGCGATTCCGCGGAAACAAAAAACCCAAAAGTCCAAAACCTTTGTGGCGGGCCCGAAACTTTTGGGTTGTTGGTTGTTCTAGGGTTGTTTTGGTTTTTTGGTTTCGCCTCAACGAAACCATGTTTTCGTTTTGATTATCATTTAGGGTTTTTGCTTTCACCAGAAACACAGCAGAAATACCAAAATGCTCTAGTTTTGCTTCGTTTCCAAAAGAAAACAAAATATCCTAGTTAGTGTTTTTTGTTTTTTTCGCCAGGTTTCCAACAGGAAATCGTTTTTGTGGTTTTCCAACAAGAATACAAAAACCAATGGTTTCGTTAAGGCGAAACCAACAAACACAAAAACACGCGACGAAAACACAAAACCAAAAGTTTCGGGCCCCCGACAAAGGTTTGGATTTTTGGATGTTTGATTTTTTGCTTTCCGCCGTCGTATCGTATGGTCTTTTTAACTGTTTGTGGCTTTTGAGTACAGGCATGTTAATATTAGTGGGCATGAGTATGCACGACATTGTAAAAAGACGTGACTTGAGATCATCCATGAAGATTATGCAACGCACGAATCCCTCCCAAGAGATGGCTTGGACGGTATTTGCGATGGAAACGAGGCCAAGGTAGGTCATGCGGGGGAGTGGTGTGTGTCCATATATGTATATATATCTTGATACATGCATTATAGTAACACTAGTAATATAAGAATGAATAATGGTAACAGTATATGCGTGTATATACGTATACATGTATGTGTGTGGTTCTACAAAACCACAGTGGAAAAACCCACATGAATATGTAAGTATAGGTAAACTAGTACATGCGTAAAACAATTAATCATACATAGAAACAGATGTGTGCAAACATGCATGTAGGTAGGTAGTATGTATGTATGTATGTATGTATGGATGTATGTACGTAGGTACATATAGTACCTGTGTGCATATATACATACATGTACTTATGTACATCTGTATATATATATATATATACATGTACACATATATATATATATACATGTACATATATATATATACACATGGTTTTCTAGACTGGACCCAGGTGTTCGTGCCTGCCCTGCGTGACCTGGAAGGCTCCCTCCCTTCCTGGCAAGTCCCCTGAACGTGTCAGTTTTCTAAGGGGTGATGTGTGGCAGAAATTCGACCAAGCACGCGTAACACTTCTTCGTCAAATAGGAACTGCCTCGCTCCAGCATTGGTCAGGCTTGCTGCGCAAAGCTGAGATTCCTGTGAGCATCGCTGCGTTGGACCTGACCGCTTCGCCGTACACCAAGTGCCTGCAAGAGCTGCGGTCGAAATTGTTTTCAAGCTAGCTGCGTTGCTGGACACGCGATTGAATCGAGGCTGCATGAATACAATTTTATAACAATGTCTCATGGCAACATCGCAGTGTGGCTTAAACGTGGCAGATTGGGAAAGTGCTCAGGCACTGTGGCAGAACTAGCTCAGACATCAGGATACATGAGGCATGCCAAAGCATAAGAGCGGAAGAACATCGCTTGTCGAAATGATCTCGTCACGACATCTCACGATCTTCAAAAGGCGAACATATGCAATATGCCTCAGAGACAGCAACGCACGAACATGCAGTACCTTGTCAGCATAACACAACGACGCAATGCAGGAGAGACCTGCGCAAATGAGAGAGACAGCGACAGAGCCCCAGGCCGCGCAGACCGGAGCGCAGTTGGGAGAGAGCGGATTCCACGCCTGGCAGATAGAAAGAAAACAATCCCCAGAGGGACTGATGTAGCACGGAAGGCGCAGAGCAGAAAAATGCGGAGCCACGGCACCAAGTTTCAAACAGCCAGCGGCATCGCATAGCACACAGCAGAATTCTGCAAACAACGCAATTTAACAAGACACTTGGTTGTAGACCAGCATCATTCTTCCGACTTGATCTTGGAGATTGACGTCATGTGACATCACGAGCAAAGTAGTTGCAGGAGTGACGACTGCTACTTAAAACCAGACTGACACATCAATGAATGCATGCTGCGAAGTTCTTTCCGATCGTGCCAAAGCTTTCTCAGTTCATGTTCCGAGGCCCGCCCCCCCGGATGCGTTCCTGTGGGAATACCCAGCCGCCACGCCCCCGTGTTGAGCAAGACAAGACTTGTGGACTGATGTTGTTGTGCACTGGGCCTGTGGGAGCTTTGGCCTAGACAGACCCTTCATGTCATGTCCTTGATTCCATCAAAATCAAGGCAGTTGCGCCACACATCCAGCTCATCCTGCCGAGATCCATGGATGGAGAGGCGAGCCACCTTGCACAACTGAGTTGGACACTGTGGTGATGCCTTTTGCGACATGGCTCATCGCTGTGGATTTATATGCGCTGTTGAGGGTCGCCTTTTGAAGCTCTACTAAACGAGGCCGGAGTGGTCGATTACGACGGTGTATGGGACGCGCGGTCATTGGCAATGGCAGCATGCCGCGTGCTCCCCAGCGTGCGAGTTTCTGCGGTCCTTGCACAAGCCGTTGAAACTTGCATGGCCAGCAGGCTTGGTGAGTATGCCATGCCATGCGCCAACTCGCAGTCAGGCGATCCTTTTCCGCAGCTGCTACCAGGTTTGAGACACAAAGTTTCACACAGACTTTGGTTTTTGACCATGGAGCTTCAGAACACTTTCCTCGGCTGCAAGAAGGACCGATTCTGGCCTAGCAGACTTGCATGCTACTCGTAGTGGACCCCGTGTTTCAGATGCTCGTGCATGTTCTCTTTCAGCAGATAGCCCGCACCTTGCAAGCAGGAGGAGCTTCCTACGCACAAGCGGTCCTTGAGTTTGCCGCCGCGGCCTAGCAAAGTCTGCATCGAAGGCGATGCGGAGCTGTCGGAGACGTGACTGCAACCTGCTTCGTTGTTTTCGCAGATTTGACCAAACAGCAGGACGCTGCGATATGGCCAGTGCTTTTTGTTCAGGGTGCTGGAGACAATAACAGATAGACAAAGACAACACGGAATGGTCGCGTTGGATTGATGCCGCTCGCGATTCGGTCTAGACCAACCGAGGAGATCCAGATGTATGTGAGAAATCTGGGACACCGTGCCCTTCAGCTTCAACCGCTGGTAGCAGCTGACTTGCATTCAGCAGCCTCCGACGTAGAAACCGTGGGGCGTAGGTGGCTCGAGCGGTGTCGCGACGGAGCGACGGCCACGGAAGCACATGTTGGTATGTTCAGTAGAACCCCGAAAGTTGGAAACCCAATAGCCTCAATCCTTAAGAGTAATGTATAGTGAATCCCAGCACTAATTATCCTTAATCCGGTTTCCAATTTCTTGGGGTTTACTATAATTGCTAACGAAAGTGTGACTGGAGAAGTTTTGGGTGCATCGGATCTTGCACAATTCTGATCTTGGCGCTGCATCTTGCTGTTGCTGCAAAATAGTTTCTGCAGTTCTGCTGTGTTTTTGGTTCGAGCGGCACCTCGGCTTTTCGAGGGCAGTTAGGTCCCAATTTCGGAGCATTTGGCGAGCGGGTCTGTGTTTCAAGCCTTTGTCGTGCTGCCATCCATGCTCTCGTTGGTTCGTGACCAGAATGTGAAACGGGCTTTTTGGTTTGAAGCTCGCAGGCACACAGCTACCCCGTCTCCTTCAGAGACAGAAGCTCTAGGCATATCCGGAACAATTACGATCGCTTGTGCTTTGGGACCGAGGTGCGCCAAGGAGGACGACATCCCTAAGCAAGTCGAGATGAAGTGCAGCAAGAGCACTGGCGAGGGCACCCCTGCATGTCTTGATAATCAGGCTCTTAAGGCTTTCGGCGGGGCCAGGCACATAGGGCCTAAATAAATGCCAGTAGTATTTTGGGGGTTCCTTCTTATAATTGTAGTATACTTGGCCCCAAAACCCTATGATGGAGACGTCTTATTCGGGTTGCGGCTGCCTGTGGAAACGATATGGAGCCTTCAGGTACGCAGCTGCGGCACCAGCTTCGTTGCCTCAATGTCTGTGCGCCAGAGGAATTTTAAGCGGCGGCAGGTTCACTGTCAACTATTGACAGGTGCAGCATTCGTTGTAGTTACTTCGAACATGGCTTGGAATGCTGCATGCAGGCCAGTGTGACACAGTCTCTTTGATCCAGTAGCCTTGCAGTACTTACCTTTGAGCCCAGATTGTCGGATGACGGGTGCGACAACTGGCCTTAGTAAGCGCAGGAAGACGGACAAGCCTGTTAATTCATTCGCAAGCTGGATATGCCTAGATGGCTAGCCACGAAAGGCGGCCGGTATGTCAGGACATGATCGAATCTGCTGTTGCCAGCCCTTGTCACTGCGTGATGGCTCTGGGATCCGATCTTAGAAGGGCTTAGGTCCCAGAGCCTTTGGCCAGACAGCCCGACCTTAAGTTGGAGCTCTAAAGTCTCTAAAGCAATGCATGGGCAGGCTGCAGTACGCCATGCACCACTTGGGCTTCATGGAGTCAAAACGTACATAATGCTTCCTTCCCTTCTCCTTTCTAACTCTAGCACAGGACTTGGAGAACTAGATTTGACAAGAGAGCCCTTGAATTGACCAACTTGCATTGTCTGCACTCGGCAAATGCACTTGTTCAGCATGTCTGCCGATTCTTTTCCGTCAGGACGGGTTGCATGCTGACCAGGCCATGCCAATGGTAGTTACCCAGCTAACGCCAGTTGGCGCGTACTCATTGGCACTCGTGTGTGCTTTTCCTGATCAGCCGGTGTCTCCCGTCCCTGCCATAGAAGGCAGGAACTCACAACTTGCACGCGCATGCGAGTGCGCACACAATGTGAGCACTCCAGCATCGTACAGGCTTTTGGCTTGCATTGTGCTGGGCTGAATAAGCAGCTGTTGATTGACTCTTTGTATTCGTATCGAAATGAGCCCGACAAACAACATGGGTGTTGTCGGCTTCGTACACAGATTTTGGCCAAAGGTGCACCAATGAAAGTGCGATTGGGCAAAGGACGAGACATGTCGGTATGACACTCCAAATCGAATCACACCATGCGGAGAGGGCTTGCATTGACCATCCGAGTCCTTGGCCCAAGTTTGCACTTCTTTGAGGTGAGCATGTGCCAATTATCATTGGAAACGCGGTTACCTTTTTCGGCCCGTCCATCGTGGCAGGAGTCCAAGGACAGACCCGCAGCTGCATGTCACCGGACACTGCACAGGCAGCACAAAGTCAAAAGGCTTTCGCTGCATTTCAGTGCTTCTGTGGCTCTAAGCCTCAACGGACCTAAACAACAAGCAATAAGCCCTCGTCGGTACCGGGAGGCTTCGTCTGGCTGTGTCCGAGTACCCTGAGTCTTCGGTTTGTCTGTCAGGCCTCGCCGGTCCTCGCGCCCCGGAGATCTCAGCGGAGGTCAGGATTCAAAGCCCTTCATGGCCGACCCTTCCGCTCTCCTGCTTCAATCTCCGGCGACATCATGTGCCTGTCTTTGCTGCGTCCAATACGGTGTGGTTGCAGGAGATCTCCCGCTTGGAGAACGGTATTCAGAAGCTTCGCGACCTGATTTTCGAGATGCTGTTTCTGCAGGAAAGTCGCCAATTCCTCGATTTGACGGCTCGATTTGAAGATTTTTGCTGCTCGAAGGAAGTGCCCCTGCAAGACGTGGGCCGAAAGGCAGGGCTCCCTGAATACTCCCGCGCTTTGTTCACCTGAGAGTCTGGGAGTTAGGGCTTGACAAAACTCCGGCCTCTTGCAGCATCCCTCCGGGACGGAGTACGAGCTGCAGGAGACTCCTCCTCTTTGCTAGTATGGATGGACGTTACTCCCCTTCATCGCCAGGTAAGCAGGAGTAGAGCAGACTGAGTTAGGCTTTCGTAGCACCCGCCGCGCGTGAAAACCTCGCTGAGACGCCCTCAAGTTTCGGTGCTAGCGCAGGGACCATGCGGATGCAAGGGAAAGTGCTTCAGCCGAAACCTGAACCCTGTTTTAGCAGAAGGCCTGGTGGTCGCGGTGGCTGCATCGAGTGCCCCAGCAGGTGCGCAGCCTTGTGTTCTTCAGCAAACGTAGTGACGACGTGGTGTGATAACAACTTGTGTGCACGAGACAATTGCTGGGCTGGCCGTAATTTCCGTCGGTTGATGTGGCAGGACCGTTCTGCCTTTGCCGTGGCCGAGAAGAAAAGATGGCAGGACGGAGACTTCTGCAGTGTTGGCAAGTTACGAGCAGTTGTCAGTCATGATAGTGATAGATACAGGCTAAAACACTTGATTTTGCAATGATGAGCCTCTATATCACGGTCCCGGTAGTTCTGATCGGCTTTTGGTCAGAACAGGCAGGATATGGCTGCATCTCTGATTGGCCTGTCGGTTCATCACGGTCTGTGGCGACAGGGATGCTTAGAGATGGGTTCAGGCACGTTTCTGTTTCAGGGTACAGCTTTAGTAATTCGATGGCAACAAGTTGATGGGTTGGTTCATGCTGCTTTCCTTTGCCACTTGTCACGCCGATAGGCAGGCACACTTTTTGGTTGCTTGTGGTCTATGTCATATCGTAATATGTCAGACATTGTCAGACAAACACATAGTGCTACATGATTCGGGTATTCGCTGCTAAACTAGGTCGCAGTGGCCCCTGCAGGCTGTCTACCAGGCTGAGCAAGAGATTGAGATTCTCCATGGTTTGCGACCTTAGACTCGCGAGTCGTGACTTCTCGAACATGTGTGAGTCAGCTGTGCTCAAGGGTCTCACAATGGCTGAGGTCTGGAGGCGGCTGCCCCAGGAAGTATGCAGATGTCAGTTTCTGCTGTGTAGAATCTTAAGGTTAGGGGGCTGGCATTGGCTTTCCTTGACAATGTTCTGCTGCCGCCTCGAGGCTGCCATCTCTTCGTGCGAGGCAGCACTGCTTCGGCTACAGCAGGGACCCTCAGCAGTGGCCGAAGACGGTGAACTCCACAGCAGCTTGTGGGCGATCGCCGCAGCCGGTTTGCTTGAACCCGCTGTTGCCTACACTCAGCTTGCCCAGCTAGCATGATCTTCCTCACTTGCAAGGCTACTTGATCGCTAGCAGAAGCCGTTCGGCCGTTTCTGTCACAGGGCCGGTGCCTTAAAGCGCTTGACAATGCCAGTTTGGCATCTCGATTTCTCTGATGTCGCTGCACTGCGTGGCTTTGGTTGATCGACCGTAGAAATTGTGCTGCTTGTCCAGTGTCGGCACACCACAATGGCCACGATGGCTGATGCGGGGAGAAAATCGATGCCACCAGAACCCATGCTGACTCCACTCTGGGCGCTCAAGGCCATTACTTTCTTTTCAGTGGGTGCCAACTCAAGCCTGTTTCGATTCATTGCAGTGTTCTACCACGAGCTGGGCTTAAGCAACTGGCAGATCGGCATTCTTCAAACCCTGCATCCTTGGATGACTTTTCTGGGATCCTTGGTCTGGGCTGCCGTATGCGATGCCACAGGGGCCTACAAGCCGATCCTCCTCGTGTCTAACCTCTGTGGAGCCCTCGTGATGTGCTCCCTGCAGTCCGATTCGGAAGGGCAATTTCCCCGGGTATGCGCTTCCGTCGCTCTGGGATCTTTCATGCTCTCTGCTCGCGCCGGCCTCCTCGATGCTCTGACGCTGAAGGTGGTCGAGGAGTATAGGAGCCGCGCCGCAGGCGCAGGAGGCGGAGCTGTGCCGAGCTATGGGCAGCAGCGGCTCTGGGGTTCTGCAGGCTTCGGCCTTTTCGCCTTACTGTCTGGCTGCGCCATGGGGCGAATCGGGAGCGGCGGAATGTTTCTGATTTTTCTATTTTGCCTGTTGATGACGGTAGTGTTGGTCTTGACGCAGCTGCCAGCTCGCGGTACGAGGGCGGAGCCCCCGCCGGCCGCTTCCCAGGATGCCGGAAGCCTCTGCAGATTTGATGTTTGGTGGTTTTTCTCCAACCTCTTCGTCTATGGAGCTCACATGGCTCTCGTAGAGAGTTTCCTTTTCGTTTATCTTTCTGCTGACTTTGTTGGAGCGAGCAAGCAGCTGTTGGGTGCATCTGTCTCAGTGATGTGCTTTTTCGAAGTCCCTGTCTACTTGCTGATCCAGCGGCTCATCGACCGCTTTCCACTCACGCTGTTGTTGTCGTGTTGTCATGTCATCTTTGCCTTCCGGGTCTTCGCCTACAGCATACTCCCGGAGGATCGGCCCTACTTCGTTCTTTTCATCGAGCCTCTGCATGGGGCCACCATGGCTGCGATGTGGGCTTGCAGTGTGGAGCTCGGACGCCGCCTGGCACCTGAGGGAGCCCGGGCACGAATGCAGGCTTTGGTGGCGGGCATCTACTACCGGGTGGCGTCGGGAGCCGGGTCCCTTCTTTGGGGACACCTAACACAGCAGCCACCTCTGGGCTACGGCTTCCAGGCCATGTATCGCCTTGCTTCTGTGACCATACTGTCTTGGTGCATCATCTGGAACGTCGGGTGGTGCCTCCGCAGCGGGCAGATTGCGCAGCCGTCGGCATACCGACCTCTGCCCGATCGCGCGTCCGCGTGAGGCGCAGTGAAGGTGATTCAGCAAGGGCCAGCAACGAGGCTTCTGTTTGCGATTGCTCCATGCTGGAAAGAGAACGGCAGCTGATGTTCAGTTTGGGATTCTACAGCTTTTAGGCACGGCCAAAATAGATCAATGAACTGTCGCTCGAGTCTTTTGCCTCGTGATTGTCGTTCAGATCCTGTTGGTTTCCCCAATCAAACTGAAAGCAGGCATGGGTAGCTTGCATGATCTTCCATGAGTTGACCGTCGGTTTGGCAGTGCGCACTCGGACGTGTACCAGTGTTTGTATTCGTCTGTTGATTATCGATCTAGTGGGTGCCTCTTACAGTAGAGAGGGACAGAGAGAAAGGGATCCCTCCCCACCAGCCGCAGCAACTTTCTGCCCGAAGCTTCGACATCAGACCCGAGTTCACGATCCTTCGGGGCAGGGTTCTGTCGAGACATGCACTGTCTGCACACGGAGGTGGAGGGGATTGCTAAACGAAGGGTTTTGGTGGGATGCCGGGGTGTTGGCGAAAATGTCGTGTGCAGGCGAGGCCCATCGAGCACGCCTGACACGGGCAAAGCATGATAGGCGGAACAGTCCGGTCAGCGAAGCGTCTGCAAAAGGGGGTCAGAGGGACCACTGTTCTTTCATGTCCCAGTGCCGCTCAGTGCACAGTTTAGATGCTTTGATCGACGGATTCAGTTGCCTCGCCTGAACTTCCGGAGTTGCAAGCTGGAAATCCCAACTGGCTTGCCGCTCAGACATTCGCGGTTACTTACGTGAGGTAGCCATTGACGCCTGCCCAAGATGGGGTCGAGCCAGCAGGATGCCGTGTCGAGTGACTCCACAAAACGACGTGCTTCTTTAGCCATCCGGCACATGCCGATAGGTTTTGTCGAGAACCACCCAAACGGATCGTGACGCAGACAGACACGCTCGGGATTATCGTGCACGGCATTGCCTGAGTCAGCCGCAACCATCGCTAGATACGTCCTTCAGCATGCGAGGAGCTCGTTGAGGTCGTCCGCGAGGATAGGAAGACAGACACGATGTTATCACTACGGGAATCGGATCGCTCTTCCGCATTGGGCTGTCTCGCCTGCTTGTGTCTGTCTGAAGACATCTCGACCTGGCAATCGTAGCATATTGCTCCAGCTTGATCAGTGCAGTTTCCAACATGAGGAAGCTGTCAGCCTGTAAGCCTTTAGCCCACGGTTACCTGAATAAGCTCCAGCTTAGCCACGCAACGGCCAAGAGCACCCTATCTAAGTGTTTGTGCAGAATGTCACCACAGCAAAGCAGCACAGGAACCATATGTGTTTTTCTTGTGGCTGCGATGCATTACGGACCTGTCAGTTTCCGACTTGACCCTTTGTGGAATGAGCAGGGTTTTTCTATCGGCAAAACACTTAGATCCCGCAGTGCGTTCGGGTGTCCTCTCTGGCATGGGCCTATTTGGCATTGCGCCGGCTGTGGTCGCAGCTGTGGCTTTTGGCGTTCAGTATGTGCCGGTAAAGAAATACAAGACACTCGTCCGAGCCAAGACCTTTACCTCGTTGATGGGGCCACTGTTCGTCTTGTTCCCTCATGTCTCACGGTTCGGTGCCCACCCAGCCCTGACCGAGACCAGGATCTACGATGGTACCACCTTCCAGCTGCTTTGTTGCCAGACGTTTTTCTGAGAGTCGGCGCGGGTCACGAAGCATTTGCTGGGAGCTTCGAGGTGGTTCATGTGCTCTGGCATCCTGTTCGTTGGCCTCGCCTTTGCGATCCTGGGTGGAGACCTAGCTAGAGGTTCCTGAATGGGGCAAACAATCGGCCTTCATTCTTTCCATGAATCCAGAAATGGTCAGGCACAAATAAATTCAATCCATGAATCCAGAAATGGTCAGGCACAAACAAAGAGCTTGAGTGCCAACCCCTCATTCGTTTCAGAGTTCATGGTGTGCGCATCGTGCAGGCATGCCGCCAAAGGTCGTTTTCGGTGGTTGTCTCTGGGCGCTGTCCAACTTCGCTTCCTGGCCGAAGAGGTGAGAGCTACGCTTTTGAGACTTTGGGATCGTTGGCCCTGAGGCGCCATTTTCAGAATATGATTGTGGGACGCTTGGGCTTGCAACCTTGCTTGGCCTGCGGTGGCCCATTCCTTCAAAACTTAACTTGACTCGGTTGAGACTTGTACTGGTGTGGATGGGAAAGTTCGCGACTTGAGTGCTTTGTGTGTGGCACTGGGATCGCGGCATGTTGCCGCTGTGTTGCAGGTCGGTGCACTTTCTTGCCATGCACAAGTTCTTTCGAATTCCTCGAGCCCAGGCTACGTTGTCGGTCGAAAAGGTCTTTTCGGACTCCCAGCTCTTCAGCCAGCGTTCGATGGCAGCACCTCGGCTGCCAGAGCCGGGCGCATTTATCTTGGAGCCCTTTGCAGGAGTTCATGGCACGACACATGTGATGACTGTGGGACCCGGAGTCTGAGGTCTTATCTTCTGCGATGTCGGGTGCTGCCTAATCCTTGTTTCCTTTGCTTCTCGCGATGGCTTTATGGTGTTATTTGTTTGTGAATGCCGCATTCCCTGTATCCGTGTGGGCAGCGGCATGCCGCTCAGGTTGCACTGTTGCTGGTGGAGGGTGGTGGAGAAAAGGAGTCCGACGAGAAGGACTCCGAGAACACTCATCCTAAGCCGACAGCTCCTTGGCGTCTGTAACAAACCGTCAGTTGAAATTTCGACGTGACAGCCCAAACGACATAAGGGCATCCATCCGTCCGTCGGCAGGTGCATGGGAAGCCCTGTCAGCCAGATAGTTACGAAGAAGTTCCTGCCGACAGGTGCCGCCTGCTGCCAGGGTGTTTCGAGAGAACGCGGAGTCGTGTCTAGAGGTTGGATGATGGTACAGGGATCAGCACTGCCGCGGGATGCTCGCGAACCGCCTTACCGGGCCTACCGAACCAAAACAGGAACCAGGACAATTTGAAGCACACGCCAATGGTATTTTGCGCTGGCATGGAATTCGAAGCCCTACGGACTTGAGAGGATTACTGGTGAGGCAAGGAGCAGCGTTTTTTCGGCGAGCTGAATGCGTGCGAACAATACGAGATGTGGTGGCAAGGGGAAAGAGTCGAAACATATCCGCTTGGTGTCCTATGGAAGTGGCGACAAGTTTAGGTTGCAAAACGGAGCTCCGAAGTTCGAAGGCCTCCAGCCAAAGACGCTCCTCGGTGTTTGAAGCCCTAGGCCCCGAGCCCTGAGTCTGACATCTGGCGTGAGCCTTTCAGGCCGCACCGCCTCTTCGAAGAGTCAAGCACTTTCGCTGCCTTTGCTCTCGAGATCGATGAGGGTGATGATGGCGAGGATGGTTCGGGAGATTTCGGACATGGCTCGGCTTCAGACATGGGGTGGCATCGGGGGCTGGATGCTGCGAAATTTTCAGACCGTTAGTAGACTGGTTAGGGGGAAGGAAGAGTAGAAAGTCTTCTCGGGTCATCACAATACTCCAAGATTAGCCGCTTACAGATATCGCCCATGTCCCGAAATCCTGGAGGAGCAGGCGCTGTTTTAAGGCCCCGCAGCCCGCTCCGAAATCTTAATGCTGAATCGCCGAGTCTGTTCCAACAGTACTGACAGTTACTAGTAAGTTGCTAGCACTGCAATATAGATCCCTCGAACTTGCCGAAGATCCGAAGTGGAAGCAATAGCACATCGTAGCACCCCCAATAGTGCGCACTAAGCAGAATAATCGTAGTGTCAACCGAGAAGTGAAGAAGGAATGCTGGCATGTTGGTGGGAGGATGCCCAGAGCGGTGATAAAGGTGATTCTGGTAGCAAGAGCACGAGAATGCAAGGTGCACGTTTAGGATCGCACAAGTACGAGCAAGATTTGCAGGCATTTCGCCCAGAGGTGCCCGATGTAGCCGAGGCAGGGAACTTGCAGGGTCGTCGCTAGCTGAGGTTCAAGTGAGGAGGGTGTTTCTTCACCGGTTGCACAGCTTCGGCGTCTTCGAAGCTCGATGTCCGTAAAAGTGGAAGCTTCCTTACGGCCGTGAAGCCGCAACTTCAAGCCCTTGAGGCACTAAATCCGAAACGCAAGGAACCCTTTCCTTCCTTCTGCGAGACTGGTCTGATAGAAAATTACTGACGATAGTGATGGCACGTTTGTGGCAATGATGATGTCAGGAGGAAAAGGCTATGGATGGGAACGAGATGATGACCAAGAGAGTGTCGCATCATGTTTAGCGCAAACGCTGTAGGAAAAGATCAGGCTGAGACGCTGTTTTAGGGTTGAAACCGATGAACATGGCAAAAATACTGCCGCGCATGCTGACAAAGGAGAAATAATGTCGATAAACACAACAGCGCAATACAGTTTCAAAGGGCTGCACACACCAAGAAGTCACCAAGTATTATGACATGACCCAGAGCTTCATGACAGCACTTAGTAGTCACATCATAGCTGTAATGGTAGCAGATGTCGCAGCATTCAACTACGGTCATCAAAGACAATACCAGCAGCGATGGCATCGTCGCGGCATGACTGGCATCCCTGTCGTTGTGGCGTAAAGTAAGTTGCCATGGAGCAGTAGGAAGAAGCGTCGTGGCTGAAAGCTATACCGCTAGGATCAAACCCCAATCAACAAGTTGCGAGCTGAATTGCATTGGCTGGTCCGAGAATGGGCGCCCACTCCGAGTGCATTCCCCATTCTCGCTTCAAGCCCACTCCGAGCGCTTCTGCAGGTCACGCCAGAAGCAACGGAGCCTCCAAGGCTCCCGAAGCCTCGGTTACGGAGTTTGAGGGATGTAATGCCATAAGCCTTAATGGTTCAAATGTTCATGAAACCGGCTGCAGGTTCCACGGGTTGTTTGCGGAACTTGCATTTTCTTGCTTGTGGTAATTATTCACATCGCCACGAAAGGTTTGTCTTCAGATTTTTGGCACCAATCATTGCAGCATCTTGCTGTAGCGGGGGGGGGGGCCTGTGTGGCAGCGCCTGCAGTTGCTGGCCAAGTGCCCCGGCAGGAAGCGACCTTGGCGGAACTTCGCTTTGGGCGTGCTGCTTGCAACTCGGCCAGTTGGGTCGCTTGTTCATCTTGCTACGACAGCGACATCTACTACGACGGCGACTACTACTACAGGCGCTTGTGTTGCTTTTGGCCGTACACGTCAGCATGTTTTCAACATCAAGTCAGATTCGAAGTGTAAACGGGCTCGTATGCGGAGGCGAGCAGCTAGCCGACAGCCTCTAAACGGAACCAAATACCTGCACAGAGCAGAGCCGCAACTACTGCAATATTTTGGGAGCAGGACTGCTACACTGCTGCTACCATCGAAGGGATCAGGTTGGCATGCAAGCCAAAGGCTGTATCAACCCTCCTGGAGGCACATGGAGGCACAGCTCACGGAATTCGTCGCAAGCCGCAGGTTCTGGAGCGATAAACTCTTGCCTTGAACATCGTGTCATCTCGAGTTTCAATGCTGTCGTTCCCAGTGTCCCAGCGGTACAATTTGGAGTGATGTTATGGTCACTATACTTGAAACAAGGTCATGGGCGTGATCAAGATTTTGATGGTGATGGCCATGATGACGACGATGGCAACCCAGTAGCTTGATGAGTAGCAGGGTCATTTTTGAAAGTCCTTGTCGTGATTGTTGCCATGGGACGGCTCCTGAAGCTAATGCTGCTGTTGGTGAGCAAGCAAAAATTGTTAGTAGTCGTAGTCGTCGTAGTCGTGGTAGTCGTAGTCGTTGTCGTCGTAGCAGGGAGGAGCAGTCGCAGTAGTGATAACAGTCGTTGTCGTAGTCGTAGTCGATGTCGTAGTGGCAGTGAAAAAGAAAGTAGTAGTAGTAGTAGTAGTAGTAGTAGTAGTAGCAGCAGTAGTAGTAGTAGTAGCAGTAGTAGTAGTAGTAGTAGTAGTAGTAGTAGTAGCAGTCGTAGTAGCAGCAGCAGTAGCAGTAGTAGTAGCAATCGCTTCAGTTGAGGCGATCGTGGCCGGCAGCCTGACAGGCGTCCAAAGTGTGCCGGCCACACTCTACAGCCTGGTGGCTCACTTGAAAACTTTTGGGATCTCGCGGGAACTCAAGTTTTGAGACTTGCAGCAACATGAACTTGCAAAATTGAAGACTTGGGTCGTTGATTGCAGGATGTTGGATGCACACACGTCCCACTCTTCCTGCTCCCACAGTTCGGGCACTCTGAAGCCATCAGGAGGGATTTGCACGGATTTGCCAATGCCCTGGACAGGAAGCTCACAATATCCCGATTCGTTGTTCTGAGCCCTTGCATTGAAGCGAAAGTCGTATTAACGGCATTGCCGTGAGCCCTGCGCACATGCGGAAGCCTCGCGCGGAGCGCTGGTGGAAGGCGGACTGATAGGATCCACTCTGGAGTTCTTAGGGTTCAGGGTTTAGGGTTTAGGGTTTAGTGCGTACTTAGCCTTGGGCATCTCGCCA